TTTCCATCTAAAACATGGGAGAAAGTAAAGCTATATATATATATTGTTCCTACACTTCTTCATTAAATGTGTGTATTTATGACAATAAATATTGTAAAAAGGGCTTTACTTTTCTGACTAGAGTATTTTCTTTTTACATGATTGCCCATTATAGTTTTTACTCTATAAACTTTAATTAACGTTGCGTTGTTAATTCAAAAGTTATAATGAATAAGAATAACTTATCGTTTTTTATTAAAAATATTGCAATTTTGGAAAAATATTAATTATTACTCTTATACTGTAAAATAAGCATAACGTTTGCATTTCAAATATATAAGACGCAGTAATTTTAAAATACGTTACTGATTATTTTTGCTGCTTTGAACCTTTAAAGTAAAAGTGCAATTTAACAAGCCCTAATTTTAAAAAGGTAAAGACTATAAAAAGTTACAATTTTGTATTAGAATTATTCCCACAAATGACGCACTAAGGCGATATCAACTACCCAGTGGCGTACTTAACACCAACGAACAGTGATAGTCACAGTTAAATGGTAATATACTAGCTTGTTACGCTTCTCTTTATTTTTGATATTAGTTAGTCCCAAATACATGTTAAATGAAAAATAATTTAAATTTCAATTATATATTATAACACCATGAGTATTAATACCGTTACAAATGTACGCCATTGTGTGTTACCCGCCATTGATGTATCCCTCATGTCTTACATACAGGGTGTACAAAAATTAAATCTCATATTAACCTGTAAGTAGCAAATCAGTCCAATATAATTAATAAATAATAATTTTGAGTTTGTAATGAATCAGTCATTCAAAAGAGAGGTATAAGAGTAATGCAAATTATATATCTGTAATATTGTTATTTTATAACAAAACGTATTGAAGGTGTTATGGTGTTTTAAGAACCTTCATAAAGCAAGAAAGGAAGTTTTTGCAGGAGATACTTATGCACTTGAATTATGTAGAAATAAAATAAACGAAGAATTTAAAAAACATAAAACATTAAACGATGAAACAGTTATAAATGAGGTATCCATAATAGCTTTATTTATTGGACATTGTTATAGAATTCTATAAATAATTTTTATTCTAGTTATTGAAGCAAAGTAAGAATATTGCACACGAACTGAGAACTACTGTTATACAAGCTAGAGAAGTTGAACCTGGAAAGTACCGTACGTATCAATAACATAAAATATTTGATGTCATAAAATCAAGAAATGTTATTTCTTTTATAGGAGTGCAAATTAGACCCGATACAACAAAACTAGACAATGTTCCATTTAAAGATAGCTCTTGTTCTGATGTAAAGTAATTCTAGACAATGTCCATTTAAAGATAGTCTTTGTTCTGATGTAAAGTAATTCTATTTAGTCTTTTTAGTTTAATTATGTTATAATTAGAATAACATGTTATTATCTGCATAGGTAGTAATGTAAAGCACATTTTACAATTTCTGTAATTTATACCCTCAAAAATTACAAATACAAATTATGCTATTAAATGCTACATTTAATTATTAATTATTTTACCTCTTATTTCCTTTTCTTTATCAAAAACTACACTTCAATTACTTTTGACACAGCAACAACAATTTTTACTTGTCTTTACTAGATGATATTTTGACTGCAAAAGAACAATTAATTGTCGAATGCATAACGGAATAATAAATACTGACGTCTTACAGTTAGCAACAATGAAAACCATTGATTGTTTTGAATTTGTAAAAATTATTTGAAAAACTATTAGAACTTTTTTGTATCAAATTAACAGAACTAATTTGAATCCCTATAATGAGAATTTATATTTACGGCTATTCAAATTTAATTTAATGACTTAAGTTCTAAACATTTTAAGAAATTTAAAGCTGAAAGTATAACAATGTGGGTTGTATAAACGAGTCACTTCCGGTTATACGAAATGTTATACTTTCTATATAAAATTTATTTAAGTATGAGTAATAAATATTTTTCCGAACTTTATGCTTCAGTTCAACAGTTTTTGATTTACTCTAAAATGTATTGGGAGTCTATATAATATAACGTTTCAAATTACAAAATATTATTCGGTAAAATAAAAATTTACTGAAATTAAAACTGTTACTAACGAGTTTAGGGCCCTTCTTAATTGGTACATCTGCGTAATTGTTATGAACGCGTTTACACTTAGTAGATTGTAATTTTTGGGTGTAATAACGACAGAATAACGTGCCCAAATTAGACCAGTCAAAACCAATGACATAGACTGCTTAATACTTATTTCATCAGCAGGGCGACTAAGGATATCTTTAAAACCAGCAAAAACCAACCCCTTTAAAATTTAAAAACGCTGATAAATTATTGCATCTGTTGAATATTTAGGAAACATTTACCCATTTAAATGTCGGTGCCCAAAAGAAAATAGTCTTTGGACCTATAAGTAAGGAATTGTTTTGATCTTTACATATTCGATAAACTTTTACCTTTACCTGCTGGATGATTCCAAAAGGGTTGTAATGCTTTAGGAATAACATTATTTAAATCACTTATTTTTTTATTGCCGAAAGGCATCTTTAAAAAATTTTTCAAAATAAAGGAAACATCAAACAATATTTTTTGTAACTGATTCTTTTTCTTACCTTTCAAACATATAAATGTCACAAGTTGGAATGGCACCGTAACTGCAGGGGTTGTTCATCATGGCATTGTAGACATTACTGCAACTTGAAAATAGTACTTCATTGGGTTATAGAGCCACGAAATTTGACATTTGTATTTTGTGGTTATAAATGTGTAATCTGGCATGTTTAAAAGTTTGCTGCTAGTTTAACAAAAATTTAAAATGCAACACGATGATGTAAGTATATTACACAAACAATGCCTAAAATGCTATTCATTTTAATTCCAGGTGGTTTGGAGCATCATAAATAAAAACTTTTGTTCCTATAAAGTTAAGTAAGTATGATATCGGTTATTGTGGAGCAATATTTAAATACAAACAATACTTTTCAGTACAAAAACTCAACGGTTTTGCAGAAATGAATATAATTTAACAGGTTTATGTGGAAGACAAGCCTGTCCTTTAGCAAATAGTAGGTATGCAACTGTTCGAGAAGAGAATGGAATAATTTATTTATACATGAAGACAGCTGAGAGGTAATTTACATTTAAATGTTAATATGTAGTTGTATTAATTATACGCGATTTTAAGAGCTGCCTTTCCATCTAAAACATGGGAGAAAGTAAAGCTTTCAAGGAATTTTGAGAAAGCTATTTATCAGATTAATGAAAATTTATTATATTGGCCGGGGTTTATCAAATCCAAATGTAAACAGAGATTCGTCAAAATTACACAATATCTAATTCGCATGAGAAAACTGAAATTACGGCGACAGTAAGTATTAATTTATTGCATTAAAAGTTTACTACTGTTGTTTATCAACTTTATAGAAAATTGTTAGTGCCCATACAACGTAAAATTGAAAGAAGAGAAAGACGTCGTGAAGAGAAAGCATTGGTTGCTGCAAGAATAGAAAAAGAAGTTGAAAAGACACTTTTAGAACGTTTGAAACAGGGAGTTGTAAGTCATACATTTACCTAATTCTGTCTTTATAGAGTATGTAGTAGAGTTGAGTTGTATTGAACTATTTATTCAAAAAAAATTGTGAAAGGATTACTGACAAAATGTTGTAAAATTAGATTAAAACTAAAACATTATTTGATGAGGGCTCAATATTCATTCTTAGTGACTGTGGTTCAGGATTGTGTCCCCTCCTTCCATGGATCAATCCTGAACCATGGACATGAAACCCTCTTTAAAGTAAACTTTATTGTTTAAGTGGTATTGAAGAGGGTGTGATTTCAGTTTTATTTTTTTAAAATACATTTAAGTATCAAGATTTCTACAATATTCCACAAATAGCCTTCGAAAGTGCATTAAATGAAGAAGAAGTTGAAAATGAAAGTGAAGAAGAAATTGAGAAAGAAGTAGAAACTGAAAGAGAAGATGGACCAGAATTTATTATGGCCAGTTCAGATGAGGAAGACGATTTGGAGGCAGAATTAATGGTAAAATAGTCAAAATGGTTGTTAGTACTTACATGATCTTTTATCACATTTTTTTACAGGCTGATGATAGTGATAGTGGACAATTGGAAACAGTGGACAAGGATAGTGATTTTGAATCTTCTGGTGATTCAGATATTGAGGTGTGATTCTAAAAAAGAAATTATTTTTATAAAAACAGTTTACTTGCATACATACTTTTTAAAATGTGGAATCTTTTTTAAGGATATTGCAGTGAAAAAGATAACAAAAAGAGGAGACAAAAAATACAAAAAGGATTCTCAGCCAGGACCATCAGGAAGAAAATTAAGACGGCCAAGGGTAGAGATGGAATATGAAATGGAAATGGAAACACCTTCTACTTCAAAATTACGGTTGAGATGATAAAATATTAGTAAATAAATGTTAACGTACAGTTTCTTTGTTCTTTTATTCCAAAAGCAATTTGTCTGGTGATTTATTTTCAAAACGAAGGCATTTAACAAAACATCAAATTAACATGAAAAATGATACGAAATTAAAAAGCTCATTTTACTTTTTTAGACCAACATTTACACAATTTAAAGGCTAGAAAAAAAATAAAATTTTCTGGTTTACTACCAGCTTAAAAGAACTTAAAAATTAAAACTTTATTTTCTTAATACGATGTAAAAATATAAATTAAAGATGGAAATTCATCAATCTTACTTCAACGAAACCGGAATTATTGCTCAATAGTGACCTATCTTTTAAATTGTCCCGGCGCCTTCACCAAGTTTTCAAATGTTTATTAATAATAAGAAAAAACTAAGTATGTATTTATAATTAATAACTAATGTAGCAGCTACAAATAAAAATGTGGAAGGGTTTCCAATACAATATTCCACAAATAGCCTTTGCAAGTGCATGAAAAATTAAAAGTCTAAAAGGAGCTGTAGTAAGTTTCAAAGTTTTGTGGATGCAAAGTAAAAAAAAACCGATTTTGTTTTATTGTCAGAGTACTCTTTTAAGCTTGTTAATAAATTAAGCATAATTTATTACTAACACATACCATAAATATGAAACTTGAGTGAGTTTGGACGTCAGTACTAGGCAAATTTAAAAAAAAATGCGTTTTTTCATCAACCAAAAGTTTAAACCATTTTATTTACAGTTATCAGAAAAATAAATTGTTTCATAATTACTTATTGTCTACAGCAGATTGAGCAGCTGCTTTTGATCTGAGTTCTTGTTGATACCTATAAAGAATAAGTTTGTTAGGCACCTTTTTTCACTGAAATGTCTACATAATTTATTTATTAAGTTCATATTCATCAAATAACTCACCTAACGGCTCTAATTACTTGGTATAATTGGGTACCAGCTACAAACACGTTGACACTAAAGAGACTCCAATTTTTTGGTATTATTACAAGAGAATAACGTGACCAAATTAGCCCAGTTGCAAGTAGAGCAGATGATTGACTGATGCTCAACTTATCAGCAGGTCTTCTGAGATCATTTAGACCAGCAATAACTAGTCCCTATAATTTGAGCAGGACTTCTTAATCATTACACATTTTAGAAAAAATAAATAACATCTTACCCACTTGAATACTGGGGCCCAAAAGAAAATTGTTTTAGGACCTATTTTAAAGAATAAATACATAAATTTTTAATTAATTAAAATAAAAAACAAGCAGTATTTTACCTGCAGGATGATTCCAAAAGGGTTGAATAGATTTTGGCACCACTTTATCTAGAGCTGCCATCGACTTTTGGTATATAATAGACATTTTGTACTTTTTCAACTTGTGCAATAATTGAGATTGAAGATAAATGAGCGATATTAAACAAAATGAGTATTTTAAAACGCAATTCTTACAATTTATTATGTAACACTAGTAAAATTATGCTTTAGATAATATTGTCAATTTAAAAAAATAAAAATTAAAACACTAAAATAACAGAATGTTTACTTTTAAACCCTCTACTTGTACTGATTAAATGTGTCGCATCTTTACAAACAACTACCTACGCAACAGGGAGAATAAATTAAAATTAAACAGATTCATGTCCATGTTTATCAAAAATTTAGATAACTTATAGGTTAACTATTGCCATAGATAATATAACTGTACACAGCATCCCTTTAATGTACAGTTACTCTCAAATACAATGCCACAACTTCAATTGTGACCAACAGAAACTGAATAGTATGAAGCTAAGAGAAGGGGAAGGACTCACCCCCGGAACAACATAACCGTATAGATTTCTTTCACATCTTCTCTATACAAAACGACTAAACTTTGGTAGTTAGATTTTTAAACACCTATGAGCTACAACACCAGGAATTTTGGTAAATACAAATTTTAAAATTTGAATCTAAGAGAGGCCGAAGGACTTTTCCCTAGAACAAGTTAACTGTATGAATGTCTTTTATATCCTCTCTGGCTAAAACTATTAATGTTTGGTAGTTAGGTTTTCAAAAACTTAGGAGCTACGGAGCCAATAATTTTGATAACACAAGTTGAAAATTTTCAAGCTAATAGAAGGGGAAGAAATCACCCTCCGGTCAATTAAGTAAACTGAAACTAAAAAGTTTGGTAGTTAAGTTTTTTAAACTCTTTTAGTTACAGCGCCAGTAATTTTGAAAATTTTCAAGCTGAGAGGAGGGAAAGGAGTAACTTCCGGAACAACATAAATGCGTAGATTTCATTTATACTCTCTCCAAGCAACACTATTAAAGTTTAGTAATTATATTTTCAAAACCCTATGAGCTACAACTCTAGCAATGCTTGTTAACAGAAGTTGCAAAATGCAAACATACACGTTCAAAGACATAATACATAGAGTTAGGTACATTTAAAAACGATATCAAATAAATTAACCCGTAATTATATATCAAAGCAGAATTTTCTTGAAATTGCTACAACTTGTTGAATGCGCCTTGTAGTCCAGTCCAAACTTCTGTTGCGACCTATGTATGAGAGTGTGTCATGGCCCCATCTGATGCCAATATCGCAAAGCTTAGCTGCGACGCTCTACGCTGAAAGGTTGAACATCACCTCATATTCACTTAACATTCTGTCCAAAAGATTTACAGTTTTGCTAGTAGTCGCAAGATGCCGCAGCGATCTTCTCTCATACATAGGTTACAACGGAAGTTTTAGCACAACTATAAGGTACATGCAATAAGTTTCTACGATTAAAACGCAAAAAGCAGTAATTTTCATAAAACTTATTTACCATAAAAAATAAAGTTTGCGGTAAATAAAACTCTATGAGCTACAACACCAACAACTTTGGCTAACAGAAATTGGAAACTTTCAAGCTAAAATAAGCGATAGAATGACCCCGGACAACTTAATTGAACAGATTTCTTTCATATGTTGTATAGATAAAACCATCAAAGTTTGGTAGTTATATTTTCAAAACAGTATGAGCTACAACACCAGCAATTTTGGCAAACACAAATTTTAAAATTTGAATCTAAGAAATAGAATCTAAGGAAGGACTTTTCTCCTGACCAAATTCACTGTATAGATGTCTTACATATCCTCTCCAGGCAAAACTACTTAAGTTAGGTAGTTAGGTTTTAAAAACACTAGGAGTAACAACGCCAATAATTTTGATAACACAAGTTGAAAATTTTCAAGCTAAGAGAAGGGGAAGGAATCACCCCCGGAAGAACATAACTGTATAGATTTCTTTCGTATCATCTCTAGACAAAACGACTAAAGTTTGGTAGTTAGATTTTCAAACCTGTATGAGTTATAACACCAGCAATTTTGGCTAACACAAATTGAAAATTTTCAAGTAAGAGAAGGAGTGGTATGACCCCCGGATAACATAACCGAATAGATTTCTTTCATATTCTCTCTAGACTGAACTATTAAAGTTTTGTAGTTAAATTTTCAAAACTGTATGAGTTATAACACCCGTAAGTTTGGCAAACACAGATTTTAAAATTTGAATCTAAGAGAGGGAGAAGGACTTTTCCCCAGTATAAATTAACTGTATATATGTCTTTTTTATCCTCTCTGGGCAAAACAATTAATGTTTGGTAGTTAGGTTTTCAGAAACCTACGAGCTACGGCGCCAATAATTTTGATAACACAAGTTGAAAATTTTCAAGCAAAGAGAAGAGGAAGGAATCACCCTCAAGACAATATAAATTTACAGATTTCTTGCATATCCTCTCTAGACTAAACTATTAAAGTTTGGTTGTTAAGCTTTCTAAACTCTTTCAGTTACAGCGCCAATAATTTTGGTAAACACATTTTGAAAAATTTCAACCTGAGAGGAGGGAAAGGAGGAACACAAATGTATAATTTTTTTTCATAGTCCCTCCAAACAACACTTTTAAAGTTTGATAGTTGTATCTTCAAAACCCTATGAACTACAACTCTAGCAATGTTTGTTAACAGAAGTTGAAAAATGCAAACATAATCGTTCAAACACTCAATACATAGAATTAGGGACATTTAAAAACTATATCAAATAATTACCCCGGAATCATATATCAAAGTAAAATTTTCTTGAAACTGCTACAACTTGTTGAATGCGCCTTGTAGTCCAGTCTAAACTTTTGTTGCGACCTATGTATGAGACTGTCTCATGGCGCCATCTGATGGCGATACCGAAAGGCATAGCTGCGACGCTCTACAGTGAAAGGTTCAACATCAGCTCATATTCACTTAATATTCTGTCCAAAAGATTTACAGTTTTGCTAGTAGTCGCAAGATGCCGCAGTGATCTTCCTTCATACATAGGTTACAACGGAAGTTTTAGCACAATTATAAGGTACATGCAATAAGTTTCTGCAATTAAAACGCAAAAAGCAGTAATTTTCATTAAAACTTGTTTGCCATAAAAATTAAAAAATGCGGTAAATAAAACTCTATGAGCTGCAACACCAACAACTTTGGCTAACACAAATTGGAAACTTTCAAGCTAAAAGAAGCGATGGAATGACCCCGGACAACATAATTGAATAGATTTCTTTCATATTCTCTCTAGACTGAACTATTAAAGTTTTGTAGTTAAATTTTCAAAACTGTATGAGCTACAACACCAGTAATTTTAGCAAATTCAAATTTTAAAATTTGAATCTAAGAGAGGGGGGAAGGACCTATCCCTAGACCAGATTCACTGTATAGATGTCTTACATATCCTCTTTAGGCAAAACGTCTTAAGTTGGGTAGTTAGGTTTTAAAAACACTAGGAGCTATAACGCCAATAATTTTGATAACACAAGTTGAAAATTTTCAAGCAAAGAGAAGCCGAAGGAATCACCCTCAGGACAATATAAATGGGTCGATTACTTGCATATCCTCTCTAGACAAAACTATTAAAGTGTGGTTGGTAAGTTTTTTAAACTCTTTTACTTACAGCCCCAGTAATTTTGGCAAACACATTTTGAAAATTTTCAACCTGAGAGGAGGGAAAGGAGTCACTCCAGGAAGAACGTAAATGTATAAATTTCTTTCATATTCTCTCCAAACAACACTATTAAAGTTTGGTAGTTATATCTTCAAAACCCTATGAGTTACAACTCTAGCAATGTTTGTTAACAGAAGTTGAAAAATGCAAACTTAATCGTTCAAACACTCAACACATATAGTGAGGAACATTTAAAAACGATATCAAATAAGTTAACTTGGAATTATATATCAAAGCAAAATTTTCTTGAAACTACTACAACTTTTCGTATAGGCCTTATAGCCCAGTCTAAACTTCTATTGCGACCTATGTAGGAGAGTGTCTTACGGCGCCTTCTGATGGCAATATCGAAAAGCATTGCTGCGACGCTCTACGATGAAAGGTTAAACATCACCTCATATTCACTTAACATTCTGTCCAAAAGATTTACAGTTTTGTTAGTAGTCGTGAGATGCCGCAGCGATCTTTCTTCATACATAGGTTACAATGGAAGTTTTAGCACAACTATAAGGTACATACAATAAGTTTCTGCAATTAAAACGCAAAAAGCAGTAATTTTCATTAAAACTTATTTACCATAAAAATTAAAGTATGCGGTAAATAGATTCTTATTTTTGGCTGATATGCATTTACATCTAAAACAATGTGGACCCATAATCCAGGGCTTAATCGACTGGTAAGACGTTACACGTCAAAAAGGAAAGTAACTTCATCTATACCTAGTTTATCGAATTGGGGAGCCTAGTTTGGCTTTTTTCCTCTTACCTAAAAGATAAGCAAACTTTTCAAGCTATCTTTCAAGAGGATTCAAGACTCTAAGAACTAAAACACCAGCAACCTTGGAAAACAGAAATTAAAAAGATTTAAGCTGAGGAAAGGGGAAGGAATAACCCCCGGAACAGTATAACTGTATACATTTCTTTTATATCCTCTCTAGACAAAACGACTAAAGTTTCGTAGTTAGATTTTCAAAACTATATGAGCTACAACACCAGCAATTTTGGCTAACACAAATTGAAAATTTTAAAGCTAAAGGAAGGGATGGGCAACATAACCGAATGGATTTCTTTCATATTCTCTCTAGACTAAACTATTAAAGTTTGGTACTTAAATTTTTAAAGCTGTATGAGCTGCAACACCAGCAATTTCGGCAAATTCACAGTTCAAAATTTGAATCTAAGAGAGGGGAAGGATTTTTACCCAGAACAACGTAACTGTATAGATGTCTTTATATCCTCTCTGGGTAAAACTATTAATGTTTGGTAGTTAGGTTTTCAAAAACCTAGGTGCTACGACGCCAATAATTTTGATAACACAAATTGAAAACTTTCAAGCCAACAGAAGGAAAGGAATCACTCTCGGAACAATATAACTGCATATATTCCCTTCATATTCTCTATTGAGAAAACTATTACTATTTGGTAGTTAAGTTTTTAAAACTCTTTTAGCTACAGCGCCAGTAATTTTGGCAAACACATATTGAAAATTTTGAAGCTGAGAGGAGGTAAAGGAATCACCCCTAGAACAACATTAATGTATAGATTTCTTTCATATTCTCTTCAGACTATTAAAATTTGGTAGTTATATTTTTAAAAACCTATGAGCTACAACAGTGGCAATGTTTGTTAACAGAAGTTGAAAAATGCAAATAAAATCGTTCCAAAACTAAATACATAGAGTT